TAATAGTTGAACGTATGGTTTTTCAATGGTGGTCTAGCCTAATTCGACTTATTATTTCAACTATTAAAAATTCAATTTATGACTCCAAACTTTTCTGATCAAATATTACAATCTCACATTACAAATTCTCGATTCGGTACTCCGAATAAATCTAATTAGATAACATTTTCATTTTCTTTCCTGATCTTTAAATTATCTACCAAATGGCATATTAGCTAGCGTTTATTACTATTCAAATTCTATCATTCGAATTGGGTCATTAAGTTCAGTGATTCGACAGTATGACGTCTTTTGGGTGGCTGAAACTTCTTCGTAGTAATTTCATAACTTAAGCTGTGTACTTATTAGCCCTTTCCGTTCGGTGGCATATCAGCTCAAACAGACTGGCGTAGCCTTAGTGATTCGAACTCATGTCAGTTATGAAAACAGTTGAAACCTCTAATAGTGAGCTTTTTGGATCAAAAAAATTATATTAGCACTTTAATAGCCATTTTGAGATACAACGCAAACTAAAATTAGCTTCCAGATGACTGTATAAAATGATCCAATTGAAATAAATGAGTTATAAGTATAGGATTGTGGAGACTGTTTAGTTTGGATTGATGTCATGAATGGATGAAAGTTAGACCACCGTTGGAAACCTGGAAGCACTGGACGGCCGTTTCGTCCTAGTATGAGACTCCTCAGCGCTGCACAACCACGACCCCGTCCGCGGACCTAAGATCCTGGGTTCGAGTCTCTCGGCCGTTTAGTGCTTCCAGGTTTTCAATGGTGGTTTAACATTCATCCATGCACGATAATAATCTATATGAATTATAATTATAAATGTGAATGGATTAATGAAAATCACTGTTCTCCGGACATCTGAAAGTAGGAACACCAAGAAGGATTAGTTCAGACTAACGACTGTAAGAAATTACATTTTCAAAGAGATAGAATATTTTAAACTTGCAACTCTTGAATCACACTACAACTGATAAGTTGATCATGTTAACATATTATAAAACTGTAAAAATATCTCAGTGATCTGATTTCATCAAAATAACAACAATCTATGAGACTAAAAACGATTTGTTTGCTCCATGAGCTGGATAAGTGAGCTTTTAAGAAATATGCCGTATGACTACCCTCTATAATATGCCTCAATAATAGACTATTTGATACAGATACATACAATTCTTTTATTCCTTGAAAATCATGGGCGGTTTATTTCATCTACATTTATCGATGATTAAAACCAACTTTTTTTAAGAGTTTCTAATTGAAGAATCCTTTTGTGATAGCTTTAGTATTCTAACGGGATATAACTACTTGATAAACGATTATTGTTTGAATAATGATTTTGATTGAATTATTTGTTTTCTGATTATTATTTTTCAGTTTCCTTTTAAATGTTCTATCATTAATTTTCGACCTGAATTACACTATTGCTAGAAAGCGTTTGAATTATTCCGATGTTCATATTCACAACTGAATTTCGATTATTCATCTCCGTATGGTCACCCACATTTAGTTGACGAGTCCCAAGTAGGATGAAATATACATCCTCGACTCAACGCCTAGCTACACTGCACCTATTTGTCTGATTAATTATAAAGTATAGTATTCTGGAGCATTGGTTTGCATCTTCTTTATCGTGTTACTGGTTTTCTTGCTCTTTTTTAATAGACAAATAGAGGCGATTGACCGGTGAGAACTCGGATTTATAATCCTGTAGGCCGTGACTACTATTTCGCTAGACTACATACTAACATGATTAATCTTTAGCTTTGACGAGTAATCTAACGCCCATTGGTAAGACAAACGCATTGTTTTCTTCTATCCCCGACTGAGTTCAGTCAGAAGATGGTAACTTCTATTATTATTTTTCAGGCACAAATGAGATTATATATATCACAATATATCACATCGTAAGTACAAAAACCATAGTCTATGCAAAAACAAGATTGAAGTAACAGCGAATGAAATAGTCAGTAGTTAGTTAGCTATAATTAAGAAGTGACAAAAAGTGTAGTAATGAATAATAAAATCCAACGGAAGCTTCCATTGTATATATATACATAATAATAAGGTTCTATATTACATTCATCAAAATCGTCACTATTCAGTCGGAGCCAAACTAGGGCTAAAAGTTCAAATAATTGAATCAATGATCAATTTTTACCTTAGTGAGTGTAATACACATCACATATTTACTTTAACATTGTTTAAATGTGTACAATATATCGTTGTCTTATAGAATTCTGAATAAATTGTCGATTTAAGGTTTATATGAAATTATTAACTACTGGTTTTAATAATAAAACTATCAATAGCTTATTATTTTACACTATTTTACTTGAGATTACTTCATTTAAATAAATCTCAATACAAAACGTAAATGTTCAATAAAATCAGTTCATGATAAACTAAAGTGTAACACTTCTACCAGTGAAACCAATTGGACAATAATCTATAATAATCCCCTATTGATTTCCACTTCAAATCTCAGTCATTTTTGTTTTGTTTTGATATAGATCGATATACTATCAGAGAATATCTATTTCATTACAATTTCATAATAAAGTGTTTTTATTTAGATTTTCGTTTATTTTTGATAATCATTTTGATTAAACTGAAACACTGACTGACTTTTTGAAAAAACTGTGCTCACTAGTGACTAGCCTCGTGAGGGAATTCTCGGAGTTCTAGTAAGAAGCTGTGACCAGTGGAGCTAATCCATGTCGGGTAGAGACAGGTATCTACCTCAGTACAATGGAAGATGGTCGAGTAATTTCGTGGATTGGTTGGTGTTAGACACTATCACCGTTGGATGCCGACCGGCGCAGCAGTCTATAGGTTAAGCGTTCGCGCACGAGGCCGAAGGCCCTGGATTCGAATCCCGCGAGCGGGATCGTGGATGTGCACTGCTGAGGACTCCTACAATAGAACGAAATGGTCATCCAGTTCTTCCAGGTTCTCAACGGTGGTTTAACATCAATCGGTTCATGATCTCAATAAAAAAAATTAATAATCTCCACAACCCCCATACCAGTAAAAACGAAAACTCAGAATAGATCATAACTGTATGAGTGACTGAATTTGATGAAATCAAGGCCTATATAACAAATAATAGTTTTATTTCGATTGAAATGCTAAATTTCAATGATCAACTTACTAGTTAAGAATAAATAAAGTTCTAATTTATTTATTTCAATTAATTTATTGTTTATTGAGTGTTATCTCTCATCAGTATCTCCTATTGTTAATGGAACTAAAACAAAAAACAATATAAAGTGCTTCAATTTTGAAGAAAAATGATTCAGAAAACCTTTCTATTTAAAGATCTTCCATTTATACTTTTTTTAATAGTGATGTAATATTCAAGTTTGGGAATAGTTAGAAGCGTATGGGAATAAAATTTTAAAGGTAAGAAATTTTCTCCTTTTGCTTCATTTCTCCCTACCCTCTGCCCATCCCTTTCCCTGAATTAACGAAGATCCAGTTTCAAACGTCCAACAGGAAACCAATTTCGGATTTATAAAAGCAATGATTTTTTTGTTGGAGTATAAATCATCAGTTATTACAAACAAAATTATGTTGTCTCATATAGCTGTTTTGAGTAAAGTGGTTGATGATATATTTAGAGAGATATTTGTATGTGTTGAATTTAAAATGAAAGAATAGTTTGTTATGAAATTAGCAGTTTATAGAGAAGAAAATTTCTGTCATTTCCGAATTCCTGTTAGTTAATTATTTTTGTATGAAATAAATGTGTAGTACAAACGGGCATCAACATCTACGAAATCAGTTGTCATAGATATACATAGTTTTGAATAATTTTCATCTGTTGAGTAACAAGCCTATCAATTTTTAATAATGATCTTTATTATTGATGTGAACAGAGGAAGGAAGAAGCGATGACAAACAATGGAAGCTATTTTTGTGGATGTTATTTCACTGAATCCAAAACTTGTAAAACACCAACATTTATTTTCGTCCCTAGTTTATTCTACAAGCCATAAGATTTCGTTTGATGTATGATTGACTACCATACCCTTTTTACGTTCCCAAGCTATTGTAATTCAAATGTAGAATTTGCTATTCTATTTTTCTACCCTAATCCTCAGTTTTGGACATAATTGTACTTTCCTAATTGTTTGTGCGTTGTGGTCATGTTAGTCATCTATTTATTCATGTATCTTTTTTCACTGATCTGTATCGGAACCGAGTTGGAATGCGAATCGGAATCGGGAATAAATCGAGTAGTTTTCCAGTTGACTCGTCTTCTCCCTCGTGCTTGTCAATCAATCAGGTGATAGAATAGTTTTCGTCATGCTAATCAAGGCATTTAGTCTCATTTCGAACTCACACGTTTCTAGCCTCAAGATGGTGGAGAAGATTTGTAGCTCAGGTGGATGATTTTGGTGGAGTTTTGTTCTCTGACCAAACCATCCAGCTCAGAGAACAAAACTCCACCAAAATCTAGCCTCAAGGTTAAACCAGTCAGTAATCTTGTCAAGGTTTTAATCTAGATTGAGACCACTAAGCCGGCATACAACGATGTTAATGTTTAACTTCAACCAATCCAAGAAATTGAACGACACATCTACCATTGTCTTCAGTGAGTTACTATCTCACAACAGACGTGGTTGAGCTCCAGTAGTCACTGTTTCCCACTAGAACTCCAGTAAATACATCTTGAAACCAGTCACTGGAGATTTTAGTAATTTAATAGTTGAATTCATGAGTCAATTAAAGTTAGACCACCATGGAAAACCTGGAAGAAGAATCTATCAGAATTCTATCAAAATTCCATCCAAATCATCCACCTGAGCTTCTTCTTCACCATCTCAGGAAGATTCTAATGTGAAACTGGAGAAATACGCATGTGTGAAGATGTTGTCTTGTCTTCTTACCAGATTTAGGAAAACCAGGATAATATGGAAATTGGTAATGTTATTTGTATAAAAGCATGTGTTTTTCAAAATTTCTGTATACTTGCTTCCATATTATTTTCTAATAAAATATTCAGATTGAGAGAAAAATAACAATGCAATCAAGAGTCATTGAACATGTGCCTAGATGGCTTCAAAATCAATGTGTGTCAAATGATCCTATCAACGTGGGAGGTGGAAAACCAGGTTCATCGATGGCGAAACATGTGATTGAAACAGGGCACAAAATTGACATTAATACAGCTTTTAGAACGTTGTATAGAAATTGTCAAGGATGGATTCTCAAGTTTATTGAAGCCTTGACTATTCGTAAATTTATGTGTACAAAAACAATTTTTCGTAACCTTCAATTTACCTTGGTAATCCTTAAGTCTAGGATAATGCGACAATTTCTTATTGTTTCTATATGATGTAAACTTGTTTCTTTCCCCTTTGTTACTTTTCTACTTGAACTTTCATTTAACTGACCTTTATTAATCTTCATATAAAATGCCCTGACAAGTATATATGTGACCAGATTGTTCGAAATGTATAGCGCAAATACATCACATCTTTCAGATCAACTCCGTCGTCTCATTGTTCTTTAGGAAAATAACCAGCGGATCAGGGAAGTATGTTTGGGCAAAGAAAACTTGGGTGTATTGGGGAGGGATTTGTTAGTTTGATCTGACCTCAAAGACATATCAAGCTGAATTAACCTCATAGATCTAATACCACTATTTGTCAAACAGTGTTCAATAAACCGATAAACACAAATATTAGAAAATTGTATGCAATAAGATAGAATACGTGTTTATGGATTTGTAGCTCACTCATTTTCCAATTTCCAATATGTATGTGATATCAGGCATTTCTCTGTTTATTTAATGGGTATGTGCTTGATGTAAAAACATAATTTTCATTGAGAATTTCGTCTCAAGCCTTAACTTTCACCTTATTTTCTATTTTCATCCAGTAAGTTGGCATAGTCTACAACGGAATGATGATAGAAGACATATGTAGATAGTTTTAGATCATTGAAATGAAATCTCCAGTGATAATTACATTCTTATAAACAGCTTTGATTCAGTAAATGAACGTAAAAAATGCTTGAAAATGCCAGATATTGGACCATAAATAGGGACAACTAAAATCTCGATAACAAAAAAGTATTTCTGTTCTAATTTAAACTAAAAGTTGTACTTATCTATCAAATTCTTTAATAACATCCAGTGGATAATGGATAGGATCTTCATTTTTTCGCAAGCATAAAAATTAATTTGAATTCCAAAGGTAGATTTAAGAGCTGAATGTATATATCAATAAAAAATTTTTGTTACTGTATACTAAAGTTATTCAATTATTAAGATCATGAGTCATTTGAAACCAAACCACTATGGAAAACCTGGAAGCACTGGATGGCTGTTTCATCCTCTTGTGGGACTCCTCATCAGTGCGCATCCACGAGATTCGAACCCAGGACCTACCAGTCCCACGCGCGAGCGTTTAACTTCTAGGCCACTGCGCCGGCCGGCATCCAACGGTGTTCATGTTCAACTTAAACCAATCCACGAAACGGCCATCTAGTGCATCTAGGTTTTCCATGGTGTTTTGGCTTTAATTGACTCATGATCTCAACCATTGAAATTACTACAATCTTCACAAAAGCCCTTCTGATATTATTTAATTACATTGTTATGTTAACAAAATGTATCATCTTAGGTATCTGCTCTTCATTTTATCGGTGGAATGAAATATACTACATATATTTATTTTCATTTTAATGAGCCATATTTAGGAAAACTGTAAATTTTACCTAACCTGTCAAACTGTATGACAATTCATATGCCTAAATCAAGCTTATGTTTATTTTGAATCGGTTGTAAGTTAGAGACTTTGCAGATTATAAATACTGAAGTTTATGAAATTTATACGGTTTCTATAACTGTAATTAAACTAATCCGTACTTTTAACTAAGATTTATGTTCACATAAATGATCCATCAATAAAGATAAGCTTTAGTAAAAAGAAAAAGAAACAGTTTTTATAACTATATCTGAGAATATTGAATAAAAAATGTAAGTGTAGACAAGATTTATAAACAATATCTTACCTATAAGGAGTGAGATGTTTTCACTTCTCCTCTCCACTAACATTGATAATATTAATAATAGTATAAACAAACTAGAAAGAGACAATAGACGAGACACATCACAGACAATGTAACTGTACAAACCTCACTATATAAATATGAAACTGATCGATCGATGAGTTTTAATGCGAAAAAATTTAAATAGACAGTTAACCTTATATTTTAAAGATTCTATTTATATATGAAACAAGTAGTATTTTAGGTTTTATACTTGAAATGAATTTCGATAAATTTGACTGAAATCAGAAATATACTGAAGATGCCACAGGTATTTGAATTTTCAACAACGCTTTAACCAGTAACACCTTCTAATGTGAAAGGTACCCACCAAGTGAAATCAAAAGACAGAAACGAGGAAGTTCGAAGATATATTTGATAGGCTATCACTATATCGAGGATCGACTGATCTAATCTGGCTAGCGATTGCAGAGGATGTTGAGCACGGCGTTCTCACTTGTGATCTGGTGCGGATGCATGACCGAGCGCCTTTAGCTAGGTAAGTCCACTAAAACTAATGTGATCAGCATCCAATGTCGAAAACTTACAGAGCTATTGATTTTGGGGATTTATTTACTGCCACAATACTAACAAATTTTCCTAAATTGCTTGTTTTAAATAGAAATACATATGTGTAGAAGATTTGCTAGTAATGATATAACATGGGATGTTTTTATAGTTTGTTATCTTGTTAGTTTTTCCAAGAAAAAAAGTATTATTGATAAGGTTTAGATGACATATATGAATTTAAGTGTAATAAATTAATGTAAACTTTTCAAGTCCTATTGAACAATGAATAATCATGTGTTTAGGTAACCTTGTTATCTTGATTTGTGTGATTTTAATAGTTAACTGTTTAGTTGACATAGAGGCATAGAGGCACATGATGTATTTGATGTTGTAGGAATAAATAAATAAATAAATAAATATATATAGTTAAATGTTCAAAGATAAACTGATCATAATGATTGTAATAATGTTCAGTATGGTATGTATTACGTATGGTATATATTATGCTTTACTGAACTCGAGTCTGATATAAATCACTAACTGACGGACTAGTGTAGTTTTACAAATAGTTTTGTGAAATCACTACTTAGCATTAGTTTCTCTCAGCTGGATTGTGTAATTGAAAAACTTCAGTTGTCATTTTGGACAATAATGCTTATAGTTGACTCCTAATCAATAAGCCCGAACCATTATTCATATTACGTAATCTAGTATTAGAATCTTTCTGTTACATTATGATGTTTATTCCTTATTCATATGTTCTCACGGAAATAATATTTTGACAGAAAGAAAATTCATGTATATGTACGATTGTAAAGCTTGATAATAAATTAGTTGAAAAGAGACCTATTCGCTGAACTTTGTGTTTGTAATAATAATTGAGTTAAAAGCCCACCATAAAAGACTCTCTTAATCCCAGACTGGTTATTACTCTGGTTTCATTTAACTACCAGTCATGAAATTAAACTAGTTAAGTAAACATGACTAATCCATGTAACTGATCAATTTTGTTGTAGTTACTTCCTACATTTACTTTAAATAGAAGTGAGCAATTTGATTGATCTGTAAGTATTTAGTCAATTTATTCTGATGACTTTAGTGCTGACTACGTGTCTACACAAATTTTATCTTTGTGTCCTTATGCACCGGTTGACTCCTATGTCCTATTGGCCGATGACCATAATGGTTGATTGATTTTTTCTACATGGATTAATAAATTGGATCTTTATCAATCTCTTCAGTGATTACAGATTGATATGAATATTGTACTACTCTGGCATTCTCCGTGTTTTCTTGAGCTGGTATTTAACCATTCTCTCAACCAAATTTACATTCAAAATCATTTATATACATTTATACATATGATAGCGAATTGGGTCCTCTCACTGGTGCCATATATTTGTGTAGATAAACGGGGCTTTCAATTTTTTAAACGGAATGTTTCTTAGATTTAATGCGATTTATTTTAGGGCTCGTGTTTCATTTATTTTCCTTTACTTTCATATCTTTCATTTTACATAAGATCATATGAATTGATTGTGTTGGTTTATTAACAAAATGGACAATCTGCTTTCTTGTCTCCGATGTTGATTTATCTATCTATTAGTTGAATGAATTTATAGCCTATTAACCTAAAAAATGAGAGAATCGATTGCTACTTGTAAAAAATCTCTTTAGTCATTCTTAATTGCAAACAAACACTCTGCTGATTACTCTGTCTGAGTTTTATAATATTGTGAAATGAAGTCACAATTCAAATCCCGTTATTCAAACATCTAACTTCACTGATATAATATATAGAGTTAAATGTATATACAGACTCCGACTGTAAAACACTACAACCTCTATTCTCTTTTTGTATATCTAGTTGTGGGCTGTCATATTGAAAGTAATCTAATTCTAATACTTATGAGTAACTGTTACATTATTGCAATACTCGCATTCCTTTTATCATATGGAATTTTGGAGGCTGTTTATTTTGTAGTTTTATATCACAGATTAACTTTATTCAGATAACCGTCGGAAACCGAGTGACACTAAACAGCTGTTTTGTCCTAGTATTGGACACTTCAACAGATCACATCCACCATCTTAACGGGTCTCGAGCATATAACCTTCGGCATTCTCAAAAGACACTTAGTTTTCAAACCACTGGGTTATCGACTAAATTACATCCCAAGTTACTTTGAGTTCACGAAGTTGTGAGAGGAACTCTGAGGAGTTCCATACTTTGATGAAACAGGTGTTCAGTGCTTCTTGCTTTTTAATGGTTATCTAACGCAGGTTAACCATTTAAATATTGCAATAAATTTCCGTTTTAGATTTTCTGTCCGAATTATCATGTATATTAACCATGTGTACTTGGTTCACTATGTAGCGACCAGTGTTATACGGAATGAATATCATACTGAAGTAGAATAGGTTCTCTCATTTTGTACCGATATGGTTCAGCTTCACTGATCACGGCTGCTCACTGAAAGTCCTGGAATCGCATCTAGAAGTAAATCACCAGTGAGCAAATGATTTTTACTAGTATAGAAGGGTCTTCAAGATTGATGTTAGATATGTACATCGTTGGATGTCCGCCCAATGGTCTGGAGGTTAAGAGTCCATGAGAATTATCCACTAAGGGGTCATAGGTTCACATTAATAAGGAGTCCCATGCTTTGAAGAAACAATGTGAATCAATGTTATAAAACTTAATGAATTGAGATGCAACTTTTAATCTACTTTAAGGTTTGAAAATAAATTTTTTGTTTATTGTCTTATTTTTCTCATTTGGATTGCACCAAATCAGTTTAGTGATATAATCACTAGTGTAGTAAAATTGATATATTTTATCGATTAAAAGAAATAACAATGAATCAACTACAAATGATTCATTCGTGCTTTAAAACAGCACGATTTTCTAATGATATATTGTAA